GCAAAGAAGCAACAGGGCTCTAGCGCTACGGCGGCCTCTACAGCTGATGCGGCTCTAGGGTTTGAGGCATATGCATCGGCCTAGGGTTTAGGGTTTAGAGGGTTTAGGGTTCCAACGCAGGTCTAGAATATACAACGCTGAATACGAAGGTTTAGGGTTTAGGGTTTAGCGTTCCGCACTGAGGTTTGCTGTTTATGTTTAGGGTTTAGCTGTTTGTATAGTGGGGTGTCTGTACAGCCCACATCTCTGAACAACAAAGTAAATTAAATTAAATAGAGACAAAAAGAAAATATAAAATAAAATATAAAAGTTTCTGTTTAGCTCTCATCGTCTGATGAAGAGCCCGAGGAGCTGCCTTCCTCCCCTGACTCCTCCTCCTCATCCTCCTCTCCCTGCTGCTGCTGCTGCTGCTGCTGCTGCTGCTCCTCGCCCTGCTGCTGCTCGTTGAGGCCCTTCTGCGCCAACTCGCGCAGCTCCTTCTCGTGCACTGCCATTGGATGGTCGTCGGGGAACTCGAGGCTCTTCACCCGCTGCAGCAGCAGCAGCAGAAGCAGCAGCAGCAGCAGCAGCAGCAAGAAAGTGGGTGTTACACGCAGGTTGCAATAGCAGCTGCTGTTGCTGCTCATTCAGCAACAACAGCAGCAGCAAAATACCTGCTGCTGCTGCTGCTAAAGCAGCAGCACGAATTGGGTTATATATCGGCATTATTATTTATATATATTATTTATTTATTTATTACTTTTATTATTATAATTATTTATTTTTATAATATAATAAATATTTATATATTACCTCTTTCAGTTCATCTAGAGCAGAGATACAGCTGTCGAAGTCGTTCGCTTTATACAACGCACAGGACATCACCATCCATATACGAGGCTGAACAAAAACCACGCAAAACCCTAAACCCTCAAAACCCTAAACCCTAAACCCTAAACCCTTATATACACTGCAACCCTGACCAGGAAGCAATTCAGCCTCCGCGTGCATCCATAGCACACAGCAGCAGCAACAGCAGCAACAACAAGAGCAGCAGCAGCAGCAACGCTCGAGCATCCGCAGCAACAAAGTAGTAACACCAACACCATTGCCAGCAGCAGCAGAAGTAGCAGCAGCAGCAGAAGTAGCAGCAGCAGCAGAAGTAGCAGCAGCAGTAGCAGTAGCAGCAGCAGTAGCAGCAGCAGCAGTAACAGCAGCAGCAGCAGCAGTAGCAGCAGCAGCAGGAGTATATATATATATATATATATATATATATATATGCTAACATCCTGATCGTCTTCATCTAGACAAGTTTTGAGCACGCGTATGGCCTGCTGGGTCATGCCGACATCAACAAAGAGTTTCGCCGCATTGACGCGTGTATCTACAGAGGGGAGATCTATCTCTTCTTCTTCTTCTTCTTCTGCATCGATGCTGCAGAATAAAGTGGCTCGTTCTAACATCTTTGCATGCAGACGCTTCAACGAGGTGTACAGACACCTCGCAGCACTCAACGCCCCCTCAGCGTCGTCTGAGACATACCAGCAGCAGCAGCAATAACAAAGCAAACAGCACCTGCTGCAGCAGCAACTAAGACAGCCACACGCGGAAAGGCTTCCTGCTGCAGCAGTACCGTGCCACTGCAGCAGCAGCAAATGCTGCTACTGGTGAGAGCAGCACCAACAGACGCCGCTGCTGCCGCAGCTGCTGCTGCTGCTGCTA